ATTTAAATATTTTATATTCACATTGAGGGGACCCTCTCTACAGAGGCTGCCATGTTTTTTACATTAGTCCAGACTGGACAAGCTAAACACCTTTTGAGTTTTTATGACAACTGGAGCTACCACAGGTTCTTTTTCATGTTTGGAAGGAGAGGGTGAGGTGAGGGGTGTTCAGCTGCAACATGAAATTTCAACACTAGATATCACAAAATTCTACACACTGTAACTTTAAGTCAAAGTTCAGTACATGTCTGAAAGCATCTATATATTATCACTGCACTGTTAAGTCATATGTTTGTGACATGCCTCTGTGTTTCTCTCCAGCAGAAGGCTACACACTCAGTATGTATATGGATGGCGTTCAGCAGACCCTGGCCTCTACAGAGCTGGCTCTCAGTTTTAAGAACAGCTGCCAGCCCGGAGCCTACTGCTTTGTCTATCACCCCATCGAGGAACCCGACAACCAGCCCGTCCGCAGCTGCCCCAGTGATCCACCCCCGGCTCCACCTACAGAGAGCTTCTTCACCGCTGAAGAAGCCACAGTGGAGCCAGAGGCGGAAGAAGAGGACAGTCTCATTTGTTTATAACTGCTCCAGCAACGCAGTGGATGCTGCGGTATCACTCTGTCAACCATTAACAGTGCACCTGAAATATTTATCTAATTCAAAGTTCAGACGCACGTGGATTAATGCATGCAAGATAACTCAAAGGATTGAATCTGAGCAAACGTGTATATATGATGTGACTCTCTTCACACAGTCGGCTGTGGTCAACTAACATAAAGCGACAGAGAGATGAAGGACTGATTTTGTTTTTTCAATAAGGGGTCTGGAACCCCAGGAACTACGGGAGGATGTGGTTTTATAAAATGTAAAAGTGCATGTTATTTCAAAATACACATACATTATCATGTTTATACTTTTCACACTCTATGATACTTGAGACAAACAGGCATTGACTATAAGTTTCTAATTATTGTGGTTCAGGAAAATAAGAACAGGACAAATCGATAATTTTTACAAATCAAATCAACACCATTTAGACCAATTATATTTTATGAAAGAAAACTCCCAAAACACCTTTAATGGGGAAAAGTACTGGAGACTCTTATTTAAAGCAGAGGTACAGTAGCAGCTATATGAACCAATTATGAATTTTCACTCCAGAAGTTTCCTTCCACGTTTGTTTTCTATATACTGATACTAACTATATTGTAAATAAACTGGTTTTCACAGTTTGACAGTTCTTTTTCTTGTTTGCTTCCATGAGGATTTGTTCTTTTTAACAATATGATATAATATATTTCTATCTGAAAATAGGGCTCCAGTAATAGATGATGAATAATTATTTGCAAAAGATGTATTGTCCATTAATAAAAGCAGCCGTTTGATCGGCAGGTTGTGACAAACTGGACTACATGACCACTTACTGTACCTGCGAAAGTCAATTTGGTCACAACTAAGGAAGCATTTATTAAGTTTATTACCAGCCAAATGATTTCTAATCAATGACTTACAATTGCTTCATGAAGTATTAGTAAATGACTTACCAACCAGAAAAAAACTTATAACTTCACAAAACATCCTTAAAAAGGTACAGAGGAGGATTTTGAGATTAAAAAATGTCACAGAAACAAAATAATGTCACAGAAAAGAGCATGAAAATCTTGGAGAGAACTTTTTTTCTTTCCTCCCTTAATTAGCTGAGCAGAATGGGAAATGAATACTAGCTGGAGAAGTCCTAACATGAAAGTGTAATTTTGAATTCCGACCTCAATGTGCCCTCAATCCACATTGTATAAAAATGTTGACGTCATTTAGAGCCACGTTCACGCATTGGTGATCGTGGAGTGGAATATTCGACCAGTCGTGATTCAATCAATCATGACATTCCAAACAGTTTTTATAGCATCAAATAACTCATGAAAAGCCAAACTTACTGGAAACATGAACACTTCAACGTACATCACTGTGATAAGAACTACCTAAAATAACAGAAACCAACTCAGAAAGATTCATACCATGTCCCATTCTTTAACATGGATGAGGTGGGGTTTATGGCATATACTGCAACCAGCTGCCAGGGGGTGATCCAGGTGTTTTGGCTTGACTTTTGGAAGGCTGTTATGTTGTTAATCTATAGTCTATGCTTAAGACGCAGTCAGACAATAATGTTAAACCTTTTATACCACGTTGTTTACAACTATTTTATATAGTGCAGAAATGGATGGTGACGATGATGCTCAGGGGCGTGTCAGTAACACCATGATTCACTCCAGAATTCTCTCATTGCTTTTAAGTCAGGTAGAAACATTGTTGAGCGTGGAGACATGCACCGGCAGTGTTTCTGATGAGGACATGAGAAGTGCGAGGTGACCCGGGCTTTGAGTCTGAAGCTTGTTATGCTCTTTAAAATCAGAGAGTTTCCGAGCCATTGTTAGGACCAGCTGCTTCCTGTCCGGCAGCATCATTTCCAACATGAGCCATAATGAGGTCCTTAAATGGTAACAAGCTTCCTGTGTGCTAACAAACTGCCCCAGCTCCACTACACCTTTTGTCTTGTCTCCATTACAGGAGGCATCCAAGCATGAAGACAGTGATTAATGACCCAGGGGCAAAGTATCGAATATACAAAGGTCAATGGACACTTCCATTTTTTAATCACTTCCTGTAAAGCTGAAGTTTGGAGATTGAGAATTTCGCCATCATGACAAACAAAGTGTCTTTATGAGAAGTTGTGGCCTACTACCACCAAACAAGTGTCAACCTGCCACAGAGAAGCAAGAGCACATTTTTACAAACTGATTTCTCCAGGAATCTTTTCCTCTCGAGCCCTGTCTTACTTCAGAGGATACGTTTTAAGATAATAATACCTGACAGTGTCGATGCTGTTACTGTTTTATTCTGTCACTGCAGATCAGAATAACATGATGAGAAATAAAAACTCCTTTATTTATAAAGTCATCCAGTCACTATTGAATATCTTCACGATTATGACTTAACATCACAGTAAAAAAAAGTTAGTAATAACCTTAATAAAATACCTCATTTTATTTACAGTTTACCTTATACTTTAAAGATCGAAATTCATCCTGAGACCATCAGCTCCACCATGTATTCAATATCCATCTGTAGGGACAGATTGGATCTGGACAAGACGTAGATCATTACTGACAGGAAGTCATCAGCACCGTAGGCCTGCCCTAGACACACCTTGATGAGTCTAGGGCAGGAAAATAAGAACATGACCATCTTCGTAGTACAGCTTATCAGGACGGCAGATATGAGATAAGGTGAAGCCAGATGAAAACATATCCTGTTTATGTTCAACTCTCTTCAATAGTACAGGCCCCTGGTGTCAAACCTCGAAATCACACATATACAATCCAACAGATATGATGTGTTCACTGACTGCTGTTCCCCCCACTGAAAAAAAAACTACTGAGCCAGTTAGAGCATTGTAGGTGTAACTGAGAATTGAGGGGCCCTGAAGAGCTGCTCAAAACTGCTTTGAATATATCTTTATACATTGTAGTGATGTATGTAAAGGTAATTTACTAAATAAAATACTGTTGAATCCTGCTGCACCAATTTACAGGCTCTTCATCTTCACAAATACAAAGGAGGATGAAATATTCCCTGTGGTCCTTCGTAATTTAATCTAACTTCCGCATGGGCGTTTTAGCTTTCCAAAATTACAGGGTGTGATCTGTAATAGATGTGAACATTAAACCCTCACTGTGGATGCCTCACACAAAAGGTTACGGTTGCATGTCCTTAAGTCCAAGTGAACATTTCAAATTTGGGGAAATTCTTCTCAGGGTCACATAATTCAGTCGAAACTCAGTGTGAGTTATGCTCACCAAGGATTTCATTATGTCTGATGAACACTGCAGATAGAAAACTAGAATGACACTCAACAGAGCCCTTAAATTCAATCAAGCTGCATTTCACACACTCACAGATATCACTTCCCTAAACAGGCTTATTAGTTCAATTCACTGGGAAATCAGTGAACATTTAAAATAAAGCCCTGTCTTGATCCTAATCTGGATCTTCACCAATATTCAAAGTGTTCTTCCCTGACCCTTATACTGCATTCTTTCACCAAGTTACACGGTAATCTGTCTATCTTACAAACTAACAAATGAATAGAATAACAAGCACATGGACAGAGATAAAAATATACTACTCCAGGGCCTTTTCATTGAGGGATGTTGTGAACATCAGTGGTGTTTTTCCACAGTCCCCTAACTAGTACACACTCATAAATAGTCCCTTGAATATGCAAGATTTTCTTTCCATTCAGATCCATAAAGTTTTCCCTCGGTAAAACCTGAGAAAAAGAAGAAACACACTCTCACAATGCCAAAGAAAGTGATACAAGTTCCTGGATCTGCCCCTTTGTACAGATCCACTCCACAAAATGACATGTTCTTTTTTCAACCATCTCCCAATTGCCTACCAAGATCATAAATACATTTTGCATGCAATATATTTTTTAATGCTACACAAATTAATATTAGGTCTTTCTCAATCTGTATTGATATTCGTTTTCTGTGCAGACAAAGTGGACTATAGTCCCGTGCGCTAACACAGGTTGTGAATGAACTTGCATGCAGGCACACGCACACACACACGCACGCACACACACACACA